GCCAAAGTATTGGAGCCTCAGCTTCAGGATCTGTCCTGCCAGTGAGCACTCAGGGCTGATTTCCTTAAGAATGGAGAGGTTTGATCTTCTTGCAGTTCATAGGATCCTCAAGAGTCTCCTCCAGCACCATAATTCAAAAGCATGCCACACCCCTAGAAATAATAATAATAATTTATTATTTATACCCTGCCCATCTGGCTGGGCTCCCCCAGCCATTCTTGGTGGCTTCCAACAAAATATTAAAATACAGTAATCCAACAAACATTAATAGCTTCCCTAAACAGGGCTGCCTTCAGATGTCTTCTAAAAGTCTGGTAGTTGTTCTCTTTGACATCTGGTGGGGGGGAGTTCCACAGGGTGGGTGCCACTACCGAGAAGGACCCCTAGTATCCCCTTCTTTGGAAACTTACTCTGGCCAGGGGCAAAGGAAGGGGATGCGAGGTGGGGGCGGACTGCCCCGGGTGTCACCACTGCTGGGGGTGACAAAATGATGGACAGCACTCACCAAGGGGCCTGCAGCGCACACGAGCTACACGTCTCTCCTGGGAGTGATGTGGTGGCTTGGGCACCTGCAGGCTCGCGCTGCCCCAAATGCTGTAGGGCGGCTGAGTGGGAGGAGGCAGGCAGATTCATTGGGGGGCCAGCTGAGCATCCTGCCCTGGCTGGCCCCACCCGGCGGGCAGCTGACCTCCGCCCCTGGGCGTAGGGCATATGCCCTACCCCAAGCACCCGATCGGCTTGCTCCACCGCTGACTCTGGCATAAGTTATACCATCTTAAGTTCTTTTAAAAAATATTTTTATTAAGCAATTTCAACATAACAAATTATCAGACCATATAATCATATATGTTATTCCCCCTCCTTTTTCCCCATCCCCCTTCAATCCCTCCCTCCCCCTCCACCAAGGACTTCCATCAGCTCCTCTCTCTGATTTCTCTGCACATATTATTCTCTGCATGTTATAAAATTAAACTTATCTATCATATAAAGGGACCCTTGACCATTAGGTCCAGTCATGGCCGACTCAGGGGTTGTGGCGCTCATCTTGCTTTACCGGCCGAGGGAGCCGGCGTACAGCTTCCAGGTCATGTGGCCAGCATGACTAAACCGCTTCTGGCGAACCAGAGCCGCGCACGGAAATGCCGTTTACCTTCCCATCGGAGCGATACCTATTTATCTACTTGCACTTTGACGTGCTTTCGAACTGCTAGGTTGGCAGGAGCAGGGACCGAGCAACGGGAGCTCACCCCGTGGCGGGGATTTGAACCGCCGACCTTCTGATTGGCAAGTCCTAGGCTCTGTGGTTTAACCCACAGCGCCAACCACGTCCCTATCTTTCATATAATCAACCAATAAATTTGTGAATGTTTATTCAAAACCTGCCAAAGAATCCAGTTCATTTTGTTGTTTTTTAGATAATTTGTAAAAAGTTCCCATTCTTCCTTAAAGTCACAATTGTCCTTGTCCCGCAGTTTGTATGTCAATTTAGCCAACTCAGCATAGCTCATCAATTTTTCTTGCCACTGTTCTTTCGTTGAGATTTCCTCATTCTTCCATCCTTGTGCTATCAAGACTCTTGCCACTGTTGTAGCATACATGAATAAATTCTTTGTTTTTCTTGGCAGGTCTTGTCCTACAATCCCTAACAAAAATGCTTCTGGTTTTTTTACAAATGTCATTTTAAACACCATCTTAAGTTCTGTGAGTGAACCCGGGCTGAGCACAGGTGAGGAACTTATGCAAGCCTAGGCAGACCCAAGAGCCACCGAATCCGAATTCTTGCATCCTGGTGGACCTTGAAGTTGGATTGCACTGTGAATTCTCCAGCCAATGATATATAACTGAAATTAATGGAACTAAGTTAGTCACGCTTGTTAATTTCAATGGTTCTACTCTGAATGCGACATATACCGGATACAACACGCAGTGAGCAAAAGCTTAAAATTGTACCGGTGTTTGCTCACATTCCTGATGGGCTCCGCCATGTTCCAGAGACAGACTGAACCAATGCGAGAGCTGCTGGATCCATCTGGAGCTCGTTTCAAAAGCTGTGGTTTTGTGCCAGGTAAGGAACCTGAGTTTGACCACAAACTAATAGGCAGACAAATCCACAGGAATCCGTTGCCTGAGGGGCTCAGGAAACAGAACCAGCAATGAAATTCCTCCTGAAAGTTGCTACATGCGGATTTGAAACTGAGCTGCCACACTTCTGGGAGTGTAGCATTTGCGAGGAATGGTATACTTGGTTTAGGTGTGTGACATCTTAGCACACGATTTCAGCAGAATATCAATGCAAAAATTAATATTGTGGCTTTTTTGAATAAAATCAAGTGCCTTGGCACAAATATTTTAAGAATATAGGAATTTGAGGGTGTGTGTTTGTTTTTATTTTTTAAATAAATAAAATCAGAATTTTTAAATTATATAAATCAGAATAAGATCCACTATTTGACTATTGATTCAAAACCCTAAAATGTATTTTATATACCGGTAATTGACTTTTTATTTCTGTTCTTTGTATATCGTATTGTTGTTTTATTGCTATGGCTGACGCAAATAAAGATTCATTCATTCGTAGAATTGTAGAGTTGGAAGGGACCCCGGCGGTCACCTAGTCCAACCCCCTGCAATGCTGGAATCTTTTGCCCAACATGGCGCTCAAACCCGCATATTAGATTGTACTAAAATGCTTTTTTGGCCTACATAGCATTTGGCCTATACAGTGGTTCCTCAGGTTACGAACTTAATTCATTCCAGAGCTCCGTTCTTAACCCAAAACCATTCTTAACCTGAGGTACCACTTTAGCTAATGGGGCTTCCCGCTGCCGCCGCACCGCCAGAGCACGATTTCCATTCACATCCTGGGGCAAAGTTCGCAACCCAGAGCAACTACTTCCAGGTTAACGGAGTTCATAACCTGAAGTGTTTGTAACTCGAAGCGTTTGTAACCCAAGGTACCACTGTATAGGCCAAAAAGCATTTTAGTACAATCTAATTTAAAACATGCTGGAGGAGACTCTTGAGAGTCCCATGGACTGCAAGAAGATCAAACCTTTCCATTCTGAAGGAAATCAGCCCTGAGAGCTCCCTGGAAGGACAGATCCTGAAGCTGAGGCTCCAATACTTTGGCCACCTCATGAGAAGAGAAGACTCCCTGGAAAAGACCCTGATGTTGGGAAAGATGGAGGGCACAAGGAGAAGGAGACAACAGAGGACGAGATGGTTGGACAGTGTTCTCGAAGCTACCAGCATGAGTTTGACCAAACTGCGGGAGGCAGTGGAAGACAGGAGTGCATGGCGTGCTCTGGTCCATGGGGTCATGAAGAGTCGGACACGACTAAACAACAACAACAACAAAAATTTATAACAAAAAACAACACCTTCAAATTCCTAAATGTGATAGGCTTGACTGCCGCAAAAGCCACTCATTTTGCATATCATCAGCATCCCTTTATTTGTGTGCTACTTTCCCACAAAATAATTGGCCAAATAGCACATCGCACACACACACACATTAGAAACAATTCAAAATAATAACAAAAAGCAGCAGCACCGATAAAATTTGTATAAGTGTTGTAACTGTGTGTGAGGCGGAAGCAGCGGTGCTCCCCTCTCTGTGTAGGTCTTTGCAGGAGGGGCCCCAAACAGCGATAAATCTGTTGGGATGGAGGTGCTACATCTCCTCTCAGCATACAGAGAGATAAAGCAGATGCTGCCAGGCAGCAGGCAGAAAGGAGAGGCAGGTGTCTGACAGGAAGAAGGAGAACCTGCAAAAAGGGCTGGGTGAGCAGGAAGGACCTACCTAGCCAGCTACCTCTTCCTGGGGGAAGGTGAAACCCTTTGGACGTGGGGTGTGGATTTTCCTGCCCAATCTCTCCTTCCCACTCAGCCTCTCATTCCCACCCAACACCTCTCCCCCTGAAGCAGCACCACGCAGGATGGAATCCTCTGCTTATCAGGTGTTCAGATTTTTTAAAACAAACGACGTCTTTCTCGTCACCCGTTTGTGACACCCAAAGGACCCGTTGGCGATATTAAGCCCCTTCCGGAAGAGCCAAAGAGACAGAAACACCACAGGAGAAAGGCAGGAAGACCACATCTTCAAGATGTCCCATAAAAAGTCGGTGAGCCAAGAGTAAACACCTAGGGTGGATGCTCAGCCCTAGAAATGTTACATTATCCCTTAAACCAGCGGTTCTCAACCTGTGGGTCCCCAGATGTTGTTGGACTACAACTCCCATCATCCCTGAGCTCTGGCCTTGCTAGCTAGGGCTGATGGGAGTTGTAGTCCAACAACATCTGGGGACCCACAGGTTGAGAACCACTGCCTTAAACTAAACATAGTTCAATCGCCCTCATTTAAAATGTATTTATCCTACACACTAAAGAGAAGATAGAAGTCATATTGTCCTCGGCCAGAGAGTCATTCTGAGTCACGCCAAGCCCCCCCCATGTCATCCATCTCTTGACTGGCGCCCACAGCACTTCTTGAAACTGTCAAATGTGTCTACGAGCCCCGAAAGGTTGCTGCTATCAACACAACGAGCACTTGAACGCATGTCTTGCCCTTCACCGTTGAGTAACCCCAACTGTTTCCCATCTTGCATACATCTGCATGGACGGGGAGGGTTTCTGGGACAGAAATATTGCTTTTCCAGCAGACTTCATCCCCTGCATATCTCTCTTCTTCAGGAGATTTAAGTCCTTCTGTCATGCTGTGAGACTATTTGATATCTTACTTCCAGGAGGCAGATGCTCTCCTAACGTGGACAGTTCAGATATGTGTTAGAACAGACAGATGGGCTGTCGCCTGAACCTTCCAGGCTCTTCCTGAAGGAGAAGCATCCGTCATCTCAAATAAGCTGCTTGTTTCCTGTGGGTGACAGGGAAGAATTCCTGATTTTGTGTTAACATGCAAACCGACAAAGATAATTTAATAATAGAGTATGTAGGTACCACATGGGTCATCTAATCCAACCCCCTGAAATGCAGATTTTTTTTGCCCATCATGGGGCTTGAACCCATGACCTTGAGATTAAGAGTCTCGTGCTCTACCAACCAAGCTATCCCGGAAGTCATCACAAGTGACATATTGTGTTCTTCATCTTCTCCAAATGTATCTTTTACTTCCAAATCATCATACATTAAAATTGTAACTTTTTAATGTCACACAGTAGAAATACAGTCGTACCTTGTGTTCTCGAATGCCTTGTGACTCGAACGTTTTGGCTCCTGAACGCCGCAAACCCGGAAGTGAGTGTTCCGGTTTGCAAACGTTCTTTGGAACCTGAACGTCCAATGCAGCTTCCGATTGAGTGCAGGAAGCTCCTGCAGCCAATCGGAAGTCGCGTCTTGGTTTTCGAACGTTTTTGGAAGTCTACCGGACTTCCCGGACGGATTAAGTTTGAGAACCAAGGTATGACTGTATACATTTCCCAAAAGTTTATATTAGAGTTTGTTTCCTATAATATACATGATTCATTATCACAGCAGCGAAAAAGCCGTAAGTATAATTCTAGCTGATGTTCTTGCACCTAATAATGGGGAACCTTGGGCTCTCAAATTGTAAATTTTCTTTCTCTACCTTTCCTTAACCTTACCATTTCCATTCGTCGTGGCAAGACACCAAATTTTACTACACCGTTCTAATTCTCTTGGAACTATCGGAGGACGCCATTTGGCTGAGATCAGTGGTTTGGCAGCGGTTAAGAAAGCCCCAGCTGAATTTCGATCTCCTGATGTCACAAGTTCTTTTAAGATATCCCAGAAGAATTATTAGCGGGGTTCATATGTATGCGATATCCAATTATTTCTTTGCCAAGAGTGAAGAATTCAGTTTGATCCATTTTGGACCAGGTTCCAGCAAGCAGCTGACCTGGAAAGCATCAGACCCTTAAGGATACAGGCCAATGCGTGGGTTCAAGATGCTCCCATAAGGGCGGCAGCTGAGTTGGTGTCTCACCTGTTAGGGGAGAGGTGGAAGGGAAAAGAGGACCTTGGAGAGGAGCGGAAACGAGACACTTATAACTGTATCATTTTCTCCTGCAAGCATTGACTTTATTTAGAAGTAAACTAAGGAGAGACCAATTTGTCAGTTTCAGTTTTCCATTTTTCCATTCTTAACTTCATTTGCCCTTTTCCACATCATGTCATCGGTGACAGCTTGCTGTTGACATTGGCATGAAAATTCATATTCATTTTCACACACACACACACACACACATTTCTCCTCATATACATATTTTCGCAGGCCTCAGACAAATAGTTTCCCTTCCAAATAGACAAATAGTTTCTGCCGGTTGATCATTTCAGCAAGAGCTGGCAGGGGTTAGACTTGGGTTCTTCTGAATGCAAATCAGCTGTTCTGCTTCCTTCTTACAGCATTGGACACAGCTTCCGGGGCTAAACTGACAAACTCTGTCTTGGGTGAAACCTTAGTTTTCCCTAAGGGTGAGAAAGAAGTTTGTTCAGTGTTCATTTTCAGGAGAACGAACCCAATTTTCACTTCCTGAACCAATACGCAAGCTGAAATGCAGGCCTCCTTCAAGATGGCTTCAGGATTACTCTCCTGTACTATTTCAGTCATGTGGTTTATGTATTTATGCATGTGTGCATACCCACCAACATTTCTCTGATAAAAATAGGGACGTCCTATTCCATCATAACAATTATTTATTATTTATACCCCACCCACCTGATTGGGTTGCCCCAGCCACTCTGGGCAGTTTCTAGCATACATAAAAACATAATAAAACATAAACTTTTTTTAAAACCCCACAAAAACTCCACTATAGAGGGCTGCCGTCAGATGGCTCAGGGGTCGGATAATTCCATACCCGCCAACATTTCTCCGATGAAAATAGGGATGTCCTAAGGAAAAGTGGGACATTCCAGGATCCAGTCAGAAACTGGGACCGCTTTTGTAAATCCGGGACTGTCCCTGGAAAATAGGTAAAAGATAAAAAAAAAACCTTGGACGATTAAGTCCATTCAAAGGTGACTATGCGGTTGCGACGCTCATCTCACTTTCCAGCTGAGGGAGCCAGTGTTTGTCCAGAGACACCTTTCCGGGTCATGTGGCCAGCATGACTAAACCACTTCTGGCACAAGGGGACACCGTGACAGAAACCAGAGCCCACGGAAATGCCGTTTACCTTCTCGCCGGAGCAGTACCTATTTATCTACTTGCACTGGCGTGCTTTCGAACTACTAGGTTGGCAGAAGCTGGGGCAGAGCAATGGGAGCTCACTGGGGATTTTAACCAGCGACCTTCTGATCGGCAAGCCCAAGAGGCTCAGTGGTTTAGCGGGTCTGTGTGTGTTTACCTTCTGCACTTATGAAAATTCATTTTATGTATGACACGTTGGGATTCTTATAACAGCCGCACACGTGGGAGAAAGAAGTGGTGGCACGCCTGGCGTGACCCACATTAGCTTGGGTCTTATCCCAGTATCGGTTTCCAAGCCACCAGTTGAAGATAAGCAGCTTAGATGGCATATCTAAGCTGCACACACTCAGATACGCATCTGAGGATTAGCAGGGAGACGCACCCCTTTCTGAAATGAGTTAACTGCAGGTTGGCTCTCTTTGTCTCTCACACACACACGCAAACACATCCCTGCTCCAGGAGTTCCTCAGAATTTTGTTATCTCTTCATCCCAAAGGCATGGCATTGTGAGCAAGTACCATGCCTCACCTTCCAGCAGTAGATCAAGTTAAATACTCTGCACTCATTTGCACCTAGCTAAACTTTCCATTGATTTTACTAAAAAGCAAGAGGTAATAACTTCCCTGTCAAAGCTGGCCACCCATTAGTGGAAAGTTATAAATAACAATGCATAAATAAGGCCTCGGCAGAAGACCAGAATTACTCATAGTCTTCTGGTGCAGTGCAGAACAAAAATATGGGATATGAGAAGATGGGGAAGAGAGGGGAGGAACACAGAGCAGGAAGTTCAGCGCTCGGTTGCGATATAAAACAGATAGGTATCTACTTGTGAAATTAAGGACAGATTTCCATAATTCACAGCCCACAAACTCGGTGGAGAGATAGCAGAGCAGTTGAGAATATTTGCACTTGACTTTATTCATCCTGGAGTTTGAGGACATTTTGAACAGGACCAAATCATCTAGCAGACCAGGACCTAAGCTATGATTTACATAACATGGCATGGGTTTTGATGATGATGGGGAAATTTTATTAAAACATGAGTTATGTATGTTTTTGATTTGTAGGACAAGGAGAAGTTTATTAAAGTGGGTCTGCCAAGAGACTCCCAGAAATTTTCAAATGGTCTTTCAGGATGGGAATGTTTGAGCCCCACTTGTTTTAGGTCACAGTCTCAGTTTGTGTGGGGCCTAAGTTGTGAAGTCCCGTTTCTTTAAATCTCACCCCACTTCCTGTTTTCTACTTGACTCTCAGCTCCGTAAAGCAAACCTTCCTCTGGTAATTGAGCTCCTTTGGGTTACTTTAAAGTTGCATGTATAGCAAGACCTGTTAGAATCTAGGGTCACCCCATGGGAACTGAGAAACTTGGCATCCGTCTGTCTGGAGAGACAATGGAAGATTGTGCCATTGGGGGTAAAGTCAAGCCTGTGAAGAGCTACAGCAGCTGCTGTGGCTGTAATACAGTGGTACCTCTGGTCAAGAACACTTCGGGTTATGAACTCCGCTAACCCGGAAGTAGCTGCTCCTGGTTGCGAACTTTGCCCCAGGATGTGAACAGAAATCGTGCACCAGTGGTGTGCGTGCAGTGGGAGGCCCCATTAGCAAAAGTGCGCCTCAGGCTAAGAACGGTTTCCACTTAAGAACAGACCTCCGGAACGAATTAAGTTCGTAACCAGAGGTACCACTACTGTAACAACAACAACAACAACATTTATTATTTATACCCCGTCCATCTGGTTGGGTTTCCCCAGCCACTCTGGGTTGCTCCCAACATCATCATCATCATCATAAAGCGATAAAACATCAAACATAAAAAAATTCCCTAAACAGGGCTGCCTTCAGATGTCTTCTGAAAGTAAGATACTTGTTTATTTCCTTAACATCTGATGGGAGGGCATTCCACAGGGCGGGTGCCACTACTGAGAAGGCCCTCTGCCTGGTTCCCTGCAACCTCACTTCTCGCAGGGAGGGAACTGCCAGAAGGCCCTCGGAGCTGGACCTCAGTGTCCGGGCTGAACAATGAGGGTGGAGACGCTCCTTCAGGTATACTGGGCCGAGGCCGTTTAGGGCTTTAAAGGTCAGCACCAACACTTTGAATTGTGCTCGGAAACGTACTGGGAGCCAATGAAGAGACCGATACGGGAGAGACATGTTTTGTTGCAGCTGGGGCGGGTGAAGATGTCTGGTTTTGCTATTAAAGATGCGCCGTGGTGTTTCTCCTCTCTGCTCTCTTCTCAGCAATCACTTCTCTGGTCATTGCTGTGGATACATAACCTGTCTGTCTATCTGTCTGTCTGTCTCCAGGCACTGCGGTCGTCTGCAAGGGATTCCGACATGGCAAGGTTAATGTTGCTAGCCTTCATGTCATGTTTGCAGACATCTTTATAAGGCAGAGTTGGTCTGCCAACATGCCTGGTGCCTGAAGCCAGTTCCCCATAAAGCACATCCTTTTCTTGAGGATCTTGCCAGCTTCCATTCCATGGACATGACCAAGCAAGTGTAGACACTGCTGAGACAGAAGTGCAAACATGCTGAGAATGTGGACTTGGAAGAGCACACCTTTGTTGGAGACTCTGTCCTGCCATGTGATGCCCGAAACCTTCCTGGCACAGCGCATATGGAAAGCATTGAGGCATCGCTCCTGGCGGGTGTAAGTTGCCCACGACTCACTCCCATCAAGCAGTGTGCTCAACATGCAAGCCTTGTAGACCTTCATCTTGGGATCGGTTGTTAGCATCACCTTCTCCCACACCCTTTTGGAGAGGCGAGCCATTGCTGTAGCAGCCTTACCAATATGCTTCTCCAGCTCAGCATCAATGGAGAGGATGCCGGTTATGGTAAAGACCAGGTAGACAAAATCGCTTATCACCTCAAGCATGTGGTCACCATTGCTGATGGCGA